TCCTCCCAGGCTGAGCCAAGTGTCCCTGTATAAGCCCCAGGTTCCAAACTGCCAGTTCATGCACTGAGGACAGAACCCGGTCCCACTGTCTGGATGCCTCCCAAGCAGATCAAGCTAATCAACTGTCTTATTTATCCAGAGGGCCTGATCCAGTTGGGGGCTCCTCAGCTATTGGTTCATAGTTCATGTGTTTTCTTTCATTTGTATATTTGTCCCTGTGCTATCACACTATGTGTGTCTCTTGAATGACAGATTCCTACAAGAATAAAATGGAAAAAGCAACTATGGATGGTAGCTTTGGAAAAATATTGTAATCACCCTAGCAGATGCCTCACATAAGAGTTTTTTGGTGTCTCCCTTACCTTAGACCTAAAGATATGAAAAAATATTATAGGAAGTGGCTTATTCTTTTAAAAATACTTTACAACCATTGCTCATGAACATCATATAAATTAACCTTTTAATTATATTTTTGTTATGGTTTTCTTTTTGATAGTGTTTATTTTTTAGAGTAGATACAGATTTAATTAATAATGAGTACTAAATATTTTAAACCTGTTTTTCCAACCTCTTTATGATTTCTATATTACTTATCCCTTATATTTGTTAGTATATAAATTGGCCACAAGTATTGAACCAGTTTTGATACATTGCTAACTATATCCCATAGGGTATTCCTCTAATCATAATTCTTGGGAATTTACTTAATTTTTTTTTTATTCTTGGAATTACTCCAATATGCTACACTAACTTTACTTTCACATCACAAAAAAAGACATTTGTGTCTTTTTTGTGGCCATTTCATAAGCTATTTGTATATTTCATTCTAGTGTCTGTTAATTAGCATACAAAGTAGTTGGTTTTGTTATGTTATTTTTTTCAAAACTATGTTTTCTCTACTAATTTCATTCCTTTAACCTTCTTTTGTGTACTATGGTCTACATACACTGGTTCCGTCCTTCTCTGCAATGCCCCTTCTTTTACGTTTATGTAGTATGTATTCTATTATCCTCGTTTGACTCTAGCCCTGCCTCCCTGCATACTTAAGTAAGATTGCTTTATCCTATCATATTGCCTCTTTATAGAGTCATGAAATAGAAGCCAATATATATGCACAAATATAAATACTGAAATCCAGGACTTGCATATGAGAAAAAAATCCAATGTTTTCATTTATGAGTCTGATTTATTTTATTAACATGATCTTCAGTTCTATCCATCTTTCTACAAGGAATAGAATTCCATTCTTTATGAAGAATTAAATTTAATTCTCTGTATGTGCCATATGCCATGTATGTAGTCCTCAGTTGGTTGACATCTACACTGACTTTTGCTTTTGATGAGAGCAGTGCAGCAATAAGCATTCATGTGCAAGTATCTCTATAGTAGGATTAAGTTCTTTGGAACTTGCCTAGGTACTGTGGGAGGCTGAGAGAAGTTGATATAGGGAAACTGTTGTCAGGATGTATTGTATGAGAGAAGAATCTATGTTCAACTTTTAAAAAAGTAAATTGAATCTATGGCGGCTAAGAATACTACTGGGAGGGGTTTCCTTTTCCTCTTTTTTTTAACGTTATCTTTTTATTCTGATTGGATTACCTTTTGTTTTCTTCCTTCTGTTTTGAGTTTCTGGATTATTTATCTGGTTGATGAGATAGTTAATACAAGATATTGATCTGCATCTCATGTTTACTGTGAACTCTCTATGTAGAGCAGGCTGTCCTCAAACATGTTCTGATCTCCCCGCTATTTCCAAAGCAAGTAAGAATACAGAAAATTTATATATAAGTATGAAAATGATACTGTGAAACTCATCTCTTTGGTGGTTTACTGAATTATTAGCAATTATAAAGCAGGAAGACACCTTGATAGATTTTTTTTGGTATAACTATAATATGACCATCTTTACTCCACATATGATAGAAATAAACCTATATTGCTTTTCATTTCATTTGCTGGAAATGGTGAGTAAATACATATTCATCTAAGAGAAGGCACTAAGGGCAGACAAAAGTAATTACATCACTCAACTCATTTATTGAATTTATTGAGGTTATTTAGAGGGCATTGGTTGAGGAATGAACTCAGAGCCACCCATGTCACTGTAAAGCTTTCCTGCACATAAAAAAGCATCACTGGAGTCTCTCTAGATATGGGGGTTTCAGATGGGATCAACCGTGTGTAAAATTCAGTGCCCACTTTGATTGTGAACCTGAAGTTCTTAAGAGTCAGGCACACAAGAGAGAAGAAAAATGGTGCCATGGAAGATGGGAATCTAGACATTTGCTCTCTGCATGAATTGTAGCAAGCTTGGTCAGTCACAGGATCCCTTCTCCTAAGCAGTCAATTATTGCTGCTTGTATAATCTTGAGAAGACATCTGATTTCTGTTTCCCGCATCTTCTAACAATATCAGTATAAAAGAAAAGGTGGACAGGACTACATAAGGCCTGATATGGAATGTCAGATTTCTTTAATACAATAAATTAGTTTTAAATTTTGGTTGAGTCTCTCTTGATATCCATTAAAATATACTGAGAATATGTTATTTAAATAACTATTATTGCTGAGTACATGCAAACACACATAATCACACATCAATAAGGTCATATTAGCTCTAAAAACAATTTCTGATTATTGATACAGTAACAATATTCTTATATGCCTGATGTTATAACTTTCTTTTCTTCTGAGTAAAATCCATCCCTCAATGAAAGTTATATGCAAAATATATATATTTTTTATGGACTAAATTTGTAATTATACATATTTTTGTGAAAACATCCTCCTATCACCCTTTGATCAATTACTACATTCATTTCTTTAAAAATCTCTATCGAAGATATTATTTTCTGTATCATGCAATAGTCACATTCATCCTTTCCATACTATAGATGACCGCATTGTTGAAGGCAAGTGCTATTTCTCATATTCACAATGATTTTATTTTATGTGAGAATGAAAACATTCTGTTTTTTAAGATGCTCCTGTGTCCTAAACATCTGACAAGAATAGAAGATAGAATGATATTTATTAGATTATACAAGTATTTTTAGATGAAACACATATTATCATGTAATCTAAATAATTATATTTTAAACTATTTAGTATGATCCATTTTGGAATGAAATGTTAAAATACCTTTAACCTTTTTCAGAAGCTAAAAGAAGTAGATTTGGTTTTTCCAAACCAAACCCATTAATTTAACCATGCATAATATTAATTCAACTAATTCTAAAAGCATGCTTAAGACGATATATGATAACAGTTCATATATTCATGAAAGACCACAAAATAATGTGAAGTCCAATGAGAAATTACTTGACTCCAAATGTCTGAAATTTTTAATTGTGTCTAACATTCTTAACATGTGGTATCATGGTCATTATTTTGGTGACTGTGTCTTGGACATCCTTATTTCTAAGACTGTAGATCAAGGGGTTCAGCATGGGGATCACCACTGTATAAAACACAGAGCCCACTTTGACTGTGAGCCTGGTGTTATTAGAGTTGGGCACACAAAAAAGAAATAAAATGGTGCCGTGGAAGATGGTGATGGCTGTCAGGTGGGATGCACAGGTGGAGAAAGCCTTACGACGCCCACTGGCTGAATGCATCTTGAGGACAGTAACAACAATGAATAGGTAAGACAACAGGATGAGGAGGAGTGTGCTGACAGCATTAAAAGTGGCAAAAATGAACAACAGTAATTGACTGATGTGAGTATCAGAGGAAGAAAGGGCTAGCACTGAAGAGAATTCACAGAAGAAATGATCGATTCTATTGACACCAGAAAAAGATAATTGCACAATAGAACCTGTCAATGTCAAGGAACATGTAAGACCCCATGCATAGGAAGCCACCACCAGTGTGACACAGAGTTTCTGGGACATAACTACAGTATAAAGCAGGGGGCTGCAGATAGCCACAAACCGGTCATAGGCCATAACCACTAATAAAAAGGCTTCAGTTACCACAAAGATACAAAATAAAAAGTATTGTACTATGCATTCTAAAAATGAAATGGTTCTGTCTCTTGCAACAAGGTCCACCAGCATCTTGGGAGCAATGATGGAAGAGTAGCAGAAATCCACAAAGGAGAGGTGGCTGAGGAAGAAGTACATGGGGGTGTGCAGTTTGGGGTTGATTCTGATGAGGAGGATCATGCCAATGTTACCTACCACAGTGATGCTGTAGATGGTGAGAAACACCAAGAAGAGAGGGACTTTCAGTTCTGGATAATCTGAGAAGCCCAAGAGTGTGAACGTTGCCCCACTATTGTTTCTTTCTGATGGCAACATCATTGGTTTGTAAGAGTATGATCAATTCTGAAAATGAGAAAAATTAATAAAAAGAGGTTACCTGTGAAACACCTGTAAACTGTGATGAGTGAGGTAAAGTACACCTTTCAGCATCTGTGTACCGGCTGTCTTAGATAGACTACTGGGACTTTTAAAGAAGGACCAGGGCACAAACTAATGGAAATACCACATTTAAAGTTTCTTCTTAAAGACACATTGAGTTAAAATGCAAACTCTTGACTTTATATATTTCTGATTATAGAGTGAGATTGTATTATACTTATTTTAAATTAGTTATTTTTCTTCATTGAATACTATTAGTTCCTAAGTGATAAGACTGATGTTAATATAATGATATATTATCTTAAACTGATACTCAGCATTAGAGTAAATTTTGAACTATATTTTTATTATACCTTTACACAGTCCTAACAATTCGTGCTGTGCTTCTTTGTTTTGATCTTATTTCACTTTTTTCCTTACCCTGTGACCCGGTACATTTTAAAACCAGATGCATAATAATTAGTTTTTCTGTTAATATGCCCTGTAATTCAGACAATTCTTTTTATTAATCATTCCACATTGACAGAATAATAAAAACATAGCAAAGAGAAGTTGTATTTTACTGCTTTATAGTATTCGTTAGCATTCAAGGCAGAGAAATGTGACTTTCTCACTAGCATACAAATAGAGCCCTGCCTCCATCCTCATATCTACACCTCTGATCCTCACACACCTAGCCATATATACACTTCCTGAACATCAGACTGATTATGTTCTAGGCCCAGATGATTAATTATTTCCTCTTAGTAATCATCTTGTTGAATATTGGTAAGTACTCTTGGGGTACAACTGTGGAAAATGGAGCATTTGTGGTGGAAAATAGATATTTTTAACACCTTCACCAAGAAAAGGCACAAGAAAACTGAATGCAAGGGGATTCTCTCATCAAAGAGTAAGCTCTCCTGAAGACTGACGGAAACTTTACATTTCTAGGCCAGTCTATCTGTTTGTTTGCCTTTTTTCATTTTCTGATTCTCCATTCAAGACACTTAATATGGTCATTCTGTCCCTCAATTATCTGAGAATGAAATAAAAAACAACAAACTAACTAATTAACTAACTAACTAACTAACTAACTAACTAACTAATATTACATTCTACAGGGATTTCCTATAAATATAAATTTGTAATTAATAACAAAAATACTACGTTTTATTGTTTCCTTGGAGGTCAAGTACCAAATACTTCCTTACCTAGAATATGTATCTCTGTACCTTCTGGTAATAATCTCTTTGTTATATAGACCATGGTATAATTTCAGATAATCTGTTAGTAATAGTGTCAAAATACTTACAAAAGTAATTCACTGTGTCCTCTGTGCTCTTATATTCATGAAATTGAGATATGACATACAACCTCTTAAGACATTCTATTATTAAGCAAGGGACTCTAGCTGTCACATTCACTTATTCATAATGTTTCATTTTACAAAGTATTGCAATTCCTGTAAGCATGAATTGCACAGAGTACAGTGGATCCAGGAGAACAGTCCTGTTATTACTTTGCACACAAATCTTCCTTATTATCTTTTCTCATGTTATTTGCTTGTTTCTTTGCTCCAAGAGCTCATAATTCTAAAGGAAATTAGTTTTTTTGATATTTTTCTCTAGCATAGACTGTTGCACTTTGATTTGTTTCTTTAATTAACATGAATGGCTTTCCTCGTGACATTTTCATCACATTTTATTTGTGTGGCTCTTCCTCCTTTCTTCTTCTCATCACTCTGTCTGTCGTGATTATACTTTTCTAGTCCCCGTGTCCTTGTCCACTTCCAAGCCACAAGTGTTTTACTACCCTTCCCACTCAACCTTTTTACAACCCGCTTTTTCTCTCGTGATTCATTAAAAATAATTATATATCTTATCATCTCACTGATTCCACCCACTTACAGAACTTAGAAGACTAACATTTCTCATATTTTCCATTCTCTTCTATCCCTGCACCCCATCTGTCCTTCTTTACCTGTGCTGAGGAGTTTAGATGAGCCCTTTAAAATGTCTGCAGAAAGACTGCTCTCCACTTCTTCATTATGGACACAAGCTCCAAAACCCAGGGAAACAGCAATGGCTGGGTTCTTTCCTCCAAAATTGTCATGCTGACTGAAAAGAAAAAGGAAAGAAAGGAAGAAAGGAAGAAGAAAGAAAACAGTCTTTTCTTTCAATCTTCAACCTGTTAAAAACTGTAGAATGTCTTTTGTCTGAGAGATTTACATTATTATATTAGAAGTTACAGCCTTGGGGGCACAAGCCTTTGGGACAATCTAGTCCCTTTCTCTTGAGATCTTGAAATAGGCAGTGGAAATTAATGAAGTAATATGATGTAACTTTAGCAAATCAGAGATTATAATGTTTGATATCACAATTTATTTAACTTTTAGGGAAAACATCTGCTCAATCTTTAGTGTTTTGTTTTTGTTTAGTTTTTAGATTTTTAAAATTTCTCTTATTCTATTAATATTGGAGTATATATTTTTCTTTACTATTGATGGATTTATATTTATGTTTATAGTCATTTTGCCTTCATATATATCTGTGTATCACATGTCTACAGTACCCAAAGAACCAGAAAATGGTGTCATATCCTCCAGTCAATGGGTAACAGATGCTTGTTAGCTACCATGTCACTGCTCTTAATTACAAAACCACCTCTCCATCTCCAGATGTGCTTTGTGTTTCAATTCTAATTCCTGAAGCTGTAGTTAACTATTGTTCATGTGATATCTTTTGCCTCTGATATTGGCCTTCCTGTGACAAATGACTATCTTAGTACTATTGCAGTATCCCAAAATCAGTGCTTATAATCCTTACTTTTCAGATGCTTCAAGAATACCTTGTTTCCTTGATTTATTGGATGGCTCCTTGATTGTTCAAGATTAAGTTATTTAGTTAACCCATGTTTGCATATTTTCACCTACCCAAAGCTATCTTCAGATTCAATGCAATCCCCCATAAAATTCTAACACAGCTCTTTACAATTCTTGAAAGGACAATTCTCAGCTTCATATGGAAACACAAAAAACCCAGGAGATCTCATCATTCCTGATCCCAAGTTGTACTACAAAGTTACACTAATAAAAACAGCAGGGTATTGGCATAAAAATAGACATGTTGTTCAATGTAATCAAATTGAAGTCCCAGACATAAATCCACACACCTATAGACACTTCATTTTTGTGAAAGAAGCCAGAAATATACACTGGAGACAAAGACAGCATCTTCAGCAAATGGTGTTTGTCAAACTGGATGACTTAATATAGAAGAATCCAAATAGAGCCATACTTATTACCCTGCACAAAACTCAACTCCAAATAGATCAAATGCCTAAACATAGAACCAGATACATGAAACCTGATAGAAGAGAAAGTGGGGAAAAGCCTTGAATTCATTGGCACGGGAGGAGATATTCTGAACAGAACACTGTTAATGCAGGCACTAAGATTAATAACTCATAAATGGGGCTTCATGAAACTGAAAAGCTTCTGTAAGGCTAAAGATACCATCATTAGGCAAAGTAGCAACCTACTGAGTGGGAAATGATTTTATCAATCTACAGGAAATAGAAGACTAATATCCAAAATATACAATGAACTCAAAAAATTGGACAGCACAAAAACAAATAATCAATTAAAAAGTAGGGTAGAAATCTAAACAAATATCAATAGAAGAAACTCAAATGGCTGAGAAACACTTAAAAAAATGTTCAACATCAGGGAAATGCAAGTCAAACTGCTTTGAGATTCCAACTTATGACTGTCAGAATAGCTAAGATCAATAACACAAGTGACAGCTCATGTTGATGAGGATAAGGAGCAAGTGGAACATCCCTTCATTGCTGGTAGGAGTGAAAACTTGTATAGCCACTATGGAAATCAGTATGGTAGTTTTTCAGAAAAATGGTAATCAATCTACTTCAAGATCCAGCTATATCACTCTTTAACATACACACAAAATATACCAAGTTTGTTGTTGCTGTATTCACAATAGCCAGAAGTTGGAAATGATGTAGGTTTCCATCAACAGAAGAACAGATAAATAAAAAGTAGTACATTTAGAATATGGAGTATTGCCCAACTGTTTTAAAAAATGACATCATGAAACTTTCTCGCAAATTGATGGAACTAGAATAAAGAAATCACCCCAGTGAGGTAACCCAGACCCAGTGAAATAGATATGTTGTGTATTCACTTACTTCTGGGTGTTAGCTATTTAATAAGAGATAGCCAAGCTGCGATCCATACACCCAGAGAAGACAGGCATAGAGGAAGGGACTAAGGTAGATACATGGCTCTCCCTGGGAGAGGATAATTAGGAGTGAATGGAGCAGAGAGGGTAGGGTAAGGGGACAATAGAACAGCAGGCTCAGGTGGGAAGGGGGAGGGGAGATGGGATTGAGGAAGGAAACTGCAGGAAAGATAGCTAGAACTGAATGGCATTTTAGGGGAGGTATGGAAATCAAGTGTAGTCCACAGTAATAATAAACTGACTCCTAAATATATTCTGTTGTACTCATAGGTTGGTGCCTGATTCAGCCATCATCAGAGAGGATTCCTCCTGTAACAAATGGGAACACATACAGAGGCCCAGACATTACACACAGAAAGAGACCTTGGAACACACTATTCTAAAAGAGATATCTCCATTAGATCCTTCCCCTCAGTCTCAGGGCACCCCATGGAAGAGGAGGCAGGAAGAGCAGGGGAGACAGAAGGAATGAAGGACACCAGGAGAACACGGCCCTCTAAACCAATTGAGCAAAGCTGATATGAACTCACAGAGACTGAAGCAGCAATTACAGGATCTCCACGGGTCTGCACTAGGTCCCCTGCATATATAAAACAGCTTTTAGCTTAGTACTTTTACAGGACTCCTGAATATGTGAATGAGTGGGTCTCTGATTCTTGTGTGCTTGCTTGAGGCCCTTTTCCTTCTGTTGGCCTGGCT